AAAGGAAACATGTGAATGCATTGGACAGACTCTGGAAGTGATTTATAAGAATGGTTCCAGCAATGAGAAACTTCAGTTATAAGGATAGATTTAAGAAGCTGGAACTGTTCTCCTTGGAGAGAAGGTTGAGAGGAGATTTGTTAATGATTTTCAAAATCATGAGTAGGCTAGATAAAGTAGCTTGGAATTTATATGGTGATGTGCAAAAGAAGCACAGAAATGCCAGAAAAAAATGCTTTCACAAAAGATAACACAGTGTGGAGCTGGAGGAACGTAACGGGCCAGGTAGCATCAGAGGAGCAGGAAAGCTGACATTTCGGGTCAGGACCCTTCTTCAGAAATGGGGGAGGGGGATGGAGCTCTGAAATAAATAAGAGAGGAGGGATGGAGCTGGGGAAGGTAGGTGGGATGGTGATAGGTGAGTGCAGGTAGGCAGTGGTTAGTGAGGTGGGAGGAACGGATAGGTGGGAGAGAAGGCAGACAGATTGTGTCAGGTCAAGGAGGCGGAGATGAGGGAAATGGTTGGTCATGGGATGAGGCCTGGGATGGGGAGATTTTGAAACTAGTAAAGTCCACATTGAGACCATTGGGTTGTAGGCTTCCAAGGCGGAATATGAGGTGCTGCTCCTCCAGTTGTGACACTGGAAGAAGCCCAGGATGGACATGTAGTCCAGGGAGTGGGAGGGGGAGTTAAAGTGGTTTGTGACTGGAAGGTGTTGCCATTTGTTGGAACAGAGCGCAGGTGCTCGATAAAGCAGTCTCCGAGCCTCCGTTTGGTTGAACAGAGCGCAGGTGCTCTACAAAGCGTCTCTGAGCCTCCGCTTGGTTGAACAGAGTGCAGGTGCTCTACAAAGTGGTCTCCAAGCCTCTGCTTGGTTGAACAGAACGCAGGTGCTCTACAAAGTGGTCTCCGAGCCTCCTTCCAGGCGCTGCCTGGTCTGCTGTGTTCCTCCAGCTTCACACTGTGTTATCTCTGACTCCAGCATCGGCAGTTCTTACTATCTCTTTCACAAAAGAGGTTGTTAGAATCTGGAATGAACTACCCGGAAATCTGGTGCAGGCAAGTACAATGAGACATACAAGAAGGCTTTAAATGATTATTTGAATAGAAATAGCGTACAAGGGTGTGGGGAAAAAGCAAGAGTTTGGCATTAGGTGATGATGCTTCTTTGAAGTGCTGGCACAGACACTACAGGCTGAATGACCTCTTGGTGCACATAACAATTCTGTGATCCAGGGTATGTATAATGTTAGTGGGAACTCATTTCCAAAACAAAGGAAAAAGGGATGAGGACATACTGCACAGCAGACGCCACCAATGGAAATCACCAAGGGAATACCAGTGAGGTAATGCCAGATGGATCAAAGGTACCGAACCAAGATTCAAACCTCAACCAATCCAATTGGGTTGTTGTCAAGTAAAATGAGAATGAGATGCAGGATATAAGCCCAGACACTCTATGGGAAGCATACATCAGATTGCTACCCATGAACCTCCTAGAAATCAAATTTGAAAAACTGCTTGAATCCAGCACGTGGATTATACAGCTGTGAGTAAAGGGTTAAAACTCATACAGGTATCACAGTTCAGCACGTGTCTGACTGCTATTTCCAAAGCAGGTTCTGAATGCAGGTTAGGATGAAAAGAATATGGAATGTTGTGTCGTCTCAATTCTGCATTGTTATTTCCTTGACTTTGTGACTAATGCTCACAGCACATAACAGGCATGAATATTGTTCATGTTACTTTCTCATGGTGAGGAACTATGACAATAGTGATATAATATACACTGCTGATTTCCATATCAACACCTGATTTTAAATAGCTGACTTTCATGGATTGAAATGGCTTTAAAAAGAGAAAAAAAGATATAAAACAGCTAATCAGTTAACCACAGGCTAGCCATGCTTTATGAAATAAGGCAAGTGAAAATGGAAAATATATCCTGGTGTTTATTACACAAGATTTGAATACAGGAGTAAAGAAATTCTAGTGCCATTACGTCTGGTGTTTGAGAGACCATACTTGGAGCATTGTGTGGAGTTTTGCTCTCTGTACCCAAGGTACGCATGCCATTGAGGGAGTGCAACAAAAGGTTCACAAAACTAATTTGTGGAATGCAAGAACTGTTCTCTCACGAAATATTAAAGATTAGATAGGAGTTTCTATTCTCCGGGTTCAAAGAATGAGGGGTGATCTCGTTCAAACATACAAACTCTTAAGAGAATTGACTTGGTAAATGCAAAAAGGATGCCTTGACTGGCAGGGGAGGGGGTATAAAAGCAGGCGACAGTCTCAGAACAAGAGGTAGGCCTTTTAAGACTTAAGTAAGAATTTACTTTTCACCCAGAGGGTGTAGCTTTGGGAATCTGCCCCGAAGTCTAAGGAAGCTTGTTGTGTATGTTCACGACTAAGATTTCTACACTTAAAAATCTCAAGGGGCATAAGGAAAGTGCAGCAAAACAATGCAGTTGCAAATTGGCCATGATTAAATTGAATTGTAGAGCAGGGTCAAAGAGCCGAATGACCTACTCTAACTCCTTTTTCTCATGTTCTGTAAAAAAATGAAATGAAATGGATAATTAATAATATTTTTATTACAAGTCAAACTCATCAGGTGTGAAGAAACCGTCATATTCCCCTTGTAATTTAGACCTCTATGATATGTTTTACATGTTGGGAATAAAAGATGTCACCTGCAAGCGTCAAGCTTTGAAACAATGAACTCAGACATTGAAATACACAAACCAACTTTATTCCAACGAACTGCTTTCAGTGGAGTAGGGTGGATGGATTGGTGACTGCAGAAAGTTCTTTCACACTCTGCATCTCAAATGTTAAAGCATATGGTGACAACACAAATTAAGCAGAAACATCCAGACACCAAGAACTTAAAGAGATCTACAATACTCACTATTACTGAGCATACCAGAAATCAATCGTGGCCTCAAGTTAACGTCTTTATGGTTCAAGGACACCATAAGAACTTTAAATTTTATGTTCCCTTCATCTTCCTTTTGTACTGTATACTTTAAATTATACTTTTGTATTTATGCCTAACATTTTATTTTTCTCCATATTCACAGATAATAAAATTGCTCTTTAGCTCAAAGTTTGTACTTGGTTCCTTATAGATACAATAGACATTGACAACTATATTTTCATGGCAGAGAGGTATAGCCTCATGCAAACAAGAACATAAAATCTTTATTGTGGTCAACTGACAAGGATGAAAAAGAGGGAGCCGATTCATCACTCTGAATCGAGCTTGAACAAGACAGGTTTCCAGAAATAGGTGACAAGTTAGGCAGCATTTCTAGGTTTTTCTTTGGTATGGGGTATACACTTTCTATTCTCTTACACAACAATTCCATGGTCTACAGATTGCTCAACTTAAAAGCAAGCATTTAACCACATTCCTACGGCAAAGGTTTATTTGCATATGACTAATGACAATTGCAAAGCAAGAGTAAAACTTTGTCTTGTTTTAGATGACTCAGGCTAACCAGAGTGAAAAATACAGGCTGCATTTTACGTCTTCTTGCCAGCAGATTGAAGACATAAGGGTCGCAATATTCAACTGGTGGCCTTCCGGCCTATCATTGACTCATCTGAAAGTTTATAGGCAACACCAGTCATCAAGTGACCAACTCCAGAGCCTATGGAGTTCCTGAAGTAGCCAATTAAGGCCACTTAAGTGTCTCATCCCACACACAGTGGTGTTTTACCATTGTCAGGGGAAAACCTCATGTAATGCACAAAGTACAGCAGCTTCAGTTACTCAAGTTGGCTTTGTGAAAGTGGAGGTAATCTCCTTGCAAGTCCCCAGAGTCTAAAGGAGGCAGGCTCCACCCAAACCAAAGCTGATACTTCCCATTTGCCCTATATGGCTTTTTGAATTAGGACTTGCATCTCAGTCGACACCTTCTCTTCATTGGGACTGCCTGTAGTCTCAGTAGTAGCCTGCCTAAGCTGCCAGTCATTCAGGTGGCCAGGCTGTTCTCTAGGGTGAGAGACAACAAGGTGCAGGGCTGGATGAACACAGCAGGCCAAGCAGCATCATAGGAGCAGAGAGGCTGACGTTTCGGGCCTAGACCCTTCATCAGAAAAGGGGGAGGGGAAGGGGGTTTTGAAATAAATAGGGAGAGAGTGGGAGGCGGATAGAAGAGGGATAGAGGAGAGGAAACAAACAGGTCGAAGAGGCGGGGATGGGGCCAGGAAAGGTGAGTGTACGTAGGGAGTTAGGAAGGGGATAGGTCAGTCCAGGGAGGACGGACAGGTCAAGGGGGCGGGATGAGGTTGGTCGGTAGGAGATGGAGGTGCGGCTTGAGGTGGGAGGAGGGGATAGGTGGGAGGAAGAACAGGTTAGGGAGGCAGGGACGAGTTGGACTGGTTTTGGGATGCGGTAGGGGGAGGGGAGATTTTGAAACTTGTGAAATCCACATTGATACCATTGGGCTGCAGGGTTCCCAAGCGGAATATGAGTTGCTGTTCCTGCAACCTTCGGGTGGCATCGTTGTGGCACTGCAGGAGGCCCAGGATGGACATGTCGTCTGAGGAATGGGAGGGGGAGTTGAAATGGTTTGCGACTGGGAGGGTTCTCTAGGGTGCATTTCTTCTATGACAGGTTTGTAGGTCTGGCCTGACTGCAATTAACGCAACTCCAAGCAATAAATTAATGCAGAGCAAAGAACAGGGTTGCAGCCAGGATTACTACTAAGGTTTTGGGAGTGAGGAACATGGCACCTCAAAATTAAGCCTGAGTTCAAAATCAGTCAAAAAGGTAATGGTGAAAAATCACCAAGGCAATGAGAAATATGGGATTCAAATTGTAAAGAGATTAGGTGCAATCAAGCTGTGGAGAAATTAGTATTCATAAGAACATAGTAACTTTAAACATGAAATAAGGTAAATGTGGTTAGCACTGATGAACAGGTTCCAATCAAACCAGAAATAGAATTTAACTGCTTTAAAAAAAAACTTTACAACTAACCACTAGCAAGTTTTGGCTTTAAATATCGATATAACAGGTTGCTGCATGTTTGCTCGCAGTAAGCCAACATTCCGAAGTAAAATCATAAAGTTAATGGAAACACGCAGCTGGCCAGGCATCATCCATGGTGAGAAGACAGGGTTAATGTTTTACGTCTTGTGACCTTCCGTCATCAATATTCAGCGATGGTTTGTTGAACCCACAATCAGCCTTCAGTCCCTGCCACGTCGCACTTACGCCTGGAAGGTGCGCTATCCTGCTGTACCACGTCCACTTGGCCTCAAGCCCTGGTTTAGGCAGAATGAGACTCAGTATATAGCTGGTTTTTTTTTTGTTCCTTATGATCTCCTCTGACCAAGAGGAGACATTCTTCGCCTGTACCTAGCACGAACACTAACAGCAAAACTCCGCCATCTCCCGTCAGCGAAAGTAGGTGGAGCAACGGTCATAATACTGCTCGCGCCCCTCACACAGCGTCATCGTGACGCCACGCACCCAACCCCGGTACGTGCTGGCGTCAGAACGCCGAGCGAGGTCGCCGTCGGAAGGGACGCTGTCGTCGCGGCTTCGGCTCTCGTATCGCGTCGTTGTTTGTGGAGGGGGCAGGGAGTGAGAGAGAGGGAGTGAGTAGCGGACGGCAGGGCGAGTTTGCTTTAGGAACCCAAATAGCAGCAAAAGTTGTGCCTACAGTATCCGCCATTTCAGTTCATCTGGATTTGGGGATCTGGATCTGGATCTGGATCTGGATCTGGATCTGTCCTCCTCAGTTAAGAGGAGGAAGGAGAGATTAAGAAAAACTTGGATTCCCGAGCTGAGCTGCTGTAGACTTGTGCGTTTATTATTTTTATTGGAAATCGTTTAAATGGAGATAGTTGAAAAATTACAATAAATAGGAGAAGAAGCGGCAGTGGGCGCGTGAGAGTGAAGCGCTGCCTTGTTAATCCCGGTTTTCCAAGGTAGAGGAGTGAGCCGGGCCGGGCCGAGCCGCTGAGAACCTGGCAGCGACCATGTTGGGTAAGGGGAAATTCCGGATACAATGGAGGGATCGTCAGCCTGGAGGTGGGGGGAGGAGGTTTAGAGGAACACTTGGCAACCAGCCTCCTTCTTCCCAACTCTCCCAATGTCGCAAATGTTTTAAACCATTGATTTTGTCTGTTGCTCTATAGTTTTATTTTCTCTTATTTTGAGGGGTGGTGGAGAGGGGACTATGATCCTTTCTTCAACTGTACGGATTAAAATGTCTTAAAATAGTTCAAACAATCTTTAAAGATCTAGCAAAATGATGATGTAACTGAATTGGAATTCGCATTTATTTGATTCATAAAAATATGTCTCATACGGATTCTGGATTTTTGCTTATCGTGAGGGAGCGTATTAGGCCTGCAGGAGATGACATTGGAATGCCCATTACTAAGTAAATTCAGATTTTTGTTTTTGTAGCCTTTAAATCATATTCCTTAAAATGGTTGAAAAGCGAATCTGTGAAAAAATATGGAGGGTCATTTATACATTGATTTTATTTGATCTCTTCTTCTGATGATTGGGGCAAAAACGTCATCGTTAGTCCCGTGAAATGAGGCAAGGTATTTTTTGTGAATTATTATACACTAGATTGGATAATGCACCGAGAAACCGATGGAATTTATATTTTGCGGTGAAATTGCCGCAGTAGTGCGTGTAATTTATAATCTGAGGCTCGTTTAGTTTGTCCGGTACTATAGTTTTTTTGGTAGTTCCATAATCTGAATCTATTGAATGGAGACAATTTAAGCAATGAATTTACAGTGCAAATAAATTGGATGTGTGCAAATCCGAAAGGGAAATTCGCAGCTACCCAAAGGACGGTGAAATCGAGAAGCCCGGCTATTTCAAATAATTGACTATAACTATGCCAGATATGCTTATGCAGTTTCAGTTATCACAAGTTTGGAACATTCAAATAAAAACGTAAATGTGCTCTTCAGATTTTACTAACAAGTGATAATGTATTAATAATTACAACGGGTGATGTTTTTGAGTGGAATGCAAATTCCATTGAAGTACTTTATTACACTTGAATGTTTAAAGGTTAATTTGGATTTATTTTGCCTGACTGCTCTGGTTATGTTAGTTGAATAGAAAATTGTATTTTCATATGTTGAAATATTTCATCAGATGTACTTTTTTTTGTATTGCTTCAGTCAGTTGTTCGATGGTAATTTTGTGCAGGGCTAGTTGCAGATTATCTAATCTTCATATTACATAAGATACACTTATCTAATTAAAGTTGAACGGATATTTGTATCTAATGACTAGCTTGTTGTTTGAGATTGCCTTTTTACTGAATTGTTTGCACTTTTCAGCTAATTGTCTTGTTTGTTTTAAACAGAAATTAAATTTTGAGAAGCTATGGATAAAAATAAAATTGAGGACAAAGTGCATTTTCGATGAGATGGAATTCAAGCTGACTGGTCCTGAACAGATGCACTTTGTGTGGGGAATAATACGGAATAAGAAGCACTTTCCAATGCTGTCTTGAAATGTAATGGGATGAGTGGAGAAATATGATGGCAAAAAACAAAGAACTGCGTCCCCCAACGTACAGTATTAGTGTGGTGGGACTATCTGGAACAGAGAAGGAGAAAGGTACAAGTGGTGTTGGCAAGTCTTGTTTGTGTAATCGATATGTGCACCCAAAAGCTGATGATTATTACCCAGAGCATACCTCAGTACTCAGCACGATTGACTTTGGAGGCCGTGTTGTCAACAATGACCATTTTCTGTTCTGGGGTGATGTAAATCACACAAGTGAAGAAGGAACTGAATATAAAGTACAAGTAATTGAACAGACTGAATTTATTGATGACCAAACTTTTCTGCCTCATCGAAGCACAAATTTACAACTATATATAAAACGGGCAGCTGCATCAAAATTGCAGTCAGCAGAGAAGTTGATGTATATTTGTACTGATCAGTTGGGTTTAGAGCAAGACTTTGAGCAAAAGCAGATGCCAGATGGAAAACTAACCATTGACGGCTTCATCCTGTGTATTGACGTAAGTAAAGGGTGCAATCGGAAATTTGATGATCAGCTTAAGTTTGTAAATAACCTTGTTGCTCAGTTGGCTAAAACAAAAAAACCTGTTGTTATAGCAGCAACAAAATGTGATGAATGTGTTGATCACTACCTGCGGGAGGTACAGGCTTTTGCGACAAATAAGAAAAATATGCCTGTGGTGGAAACTTCAGCACGT